TGATATCTACAATGTAAAATATCGACAACGTTAACAAGGTAAATAGTTACTATCATACGAGTATAAAAATTTCAACTAGTTGTCAATTCAGAATTAACGCTATTAGCCAAAAGCCAGCCTGTACCATTGTCATATGGCAGTTAAAAAAGGACTGATTATATTAATTATAAGCGTATTCTTCAATTTCGAATACTTGCCTATTTGATCGGTTTCCTTCGACTGATGCATAATGGATAAGCTATTCGTGTTATCCATCGTATTATCAGTTGTAGTTATTACTAGGTAATTGGCAGAAATAGAAATAAGTTGGCAGTTTTATTAACATCCTTATTATTAATGTAGCATTCTATACATAATATAATTTTTGATTGATTAACAAAGATTTGATGTCATCATTATTCGTTGTGGTTGTAATATTAGAGAAATCTTCGGTGAAGGTATTTTTAGCCAATACAGACGTTCTAAGGTCTAAAATTTGCACTATGTGTCATTCATTTTATCACAGTTAACAGACTGCGTTAAAACCATTACATAGGTGCTATTTACAGGGTCTACTTTGGATAGCATTTTATGATAACCCATAACTAAATTTTATTACCTTGAGCATCAACTGAGGTTGTATCATTGGATGATGATGGCAGGTCTTTGGTATAACGTCGAGAAATATCAGCTACTCGGCTATTTTCAACAGAATTGCCATCTGGATCTTTATTAACATATCTACTTTTATCCTCTTTCATCGTTTTATCTCTGTCTTTATTCACGCTATCATCTTCGTCCAGACCTAACTGTTTGTTCATATTCTTGGACAGTTTAGCGTTGCGAAATAGCTCCTTCAATTTCAATGACATCTTTTCTCTATCACCCTTGCCTAATTTATCATTATTACTGGAAGTTTCTGTGTTTTCTGCTATTTTATTACTACTTATTGGATTATTGCCAGTTGATTCGTCTTCTTTTCTTGTCTGGCCTATATCGCTAGCCTCCTTCTCAGCTGTATGATTATTGGCAACTACTACCTCACCTAAAAATTAGTAAATATGCGTTTGAATAATAGATTTGAAATAAAAACAAGGCCTTGCCCAAGAGATTCTATATGCAAAAAATACGGTTACTTCCTATTGTAATGGATCTATGTCCTATACTTAGTTACCATCTTCAATGCTTCAATGAAATACAGTAAAACGTGGCGTAAAAGACTGTACAGCTGAATTGGCGAGGTCTTATTTAGAGTAGGCAACATTAAGGTAATGAATGAGCATGATGAATAAAAGAATTTCCACAAGTCCAATTTATGCTTTAACTGCAGATGATGAAAACTTCAGCTATGACATAAATTTAAACTAATGGAATAAAACGAATTTGGCAGAGGAAAGATACAATTTCTCCTCAGTACAAATTTTTGTTTATCAAGCTTCAGGAAAGAGTGGCAACGCTATCATGATGTCTTGTCGGTCTATTTTAATTTAATCCTTTCATGCGTATGCTTTACTTTGTAACAGCTGTATTTTGACATTTTCAATATAGTGATGGCGCAAATTTCTAACAAGTATTTCTACGTGTATAGTTGTATTGAATGAAAGTTGGATTCTCTTGATCGATACGATACTGAGCGGGGTAGGCATCTGTCAATGTAGCTTACTAGTACAGTACTACGAAGTAATACTATTATGGTCTTCTCAATTAGTCGACTATCTACAGTATCCTTTATGATTTCATCTTGTTTCGATACTTGGAATAGATCTCCGAATTGAATATAAACCGACGAGGTTTGTGTTTTTGATTTCAATGTGTACTGACTCCTATGCAATTGTAAAAGTTGGAAGTATCATCTGGTTAGTCGCTTACTAAAGTATGGATAGCGTCAAGTTTAAGCCGATATCACTATCATCATGATTGAATTCAACTGTGAGTCTATAAGCTGGCATGGATAGCATCCATGTGTTGATTTCAGTTAACACAGTGGCATGTAATATTGAGTGTTTACTATTTACACTTGTTCTACTTTGTAAGTATGGTCATAGAATAACAAACAGTAGAGAGGTAGTGGAAATAGCTCCATAGTAAGTTTCACTTGCATCACTCGTACTTTAATGTAATTAAATTATATTCAGTATGACAAGACAAGGAGCAACCTGCAGTGATAGGGAAAGTAGCCTAGTTGACCACCACTCAGATGCAACATCGTCCAATTCAATTAAACGCTTGAAAAAAGGCAACTGCCTAGTTGAACAATTCTTCCCATCATGATAGCATAACTTGTGTCATTTTAATAAGTGTATTCATTGACTTTGGGATAGTCTAACAAGAAAAATTGGGGATCAATAATGGCTATGATCCTGATTGGAATAGGTATTTATTCATACAGTATCTGTATGTTGGGATATGATGTCTTTCAATCAATCAAAGTGACACGTAGCCTAGTGATAAAAAAGGCCTGAATTCCACTGGCGATACCCTCGTCCATCATCCAAGTAGAACACGCTAACCGATGGGCTATTTTAGAACTAGAGATTTAACTTGGTCAACCTAGTGTAACTGTGTAACTAGAATAGGATTTGACCAATTGTATTTATTTGATTGATGAATGAAGACAAGATCGATGATGGTGCTACTAGTTTATTGGTGATGAATGATCCATGAGGATAATAAACATGACGAATTTGAAGTTGGATCGCATTTTAATGATGCTATGCTACTTTCTATTGATTGCAAACCTACCTGTGGCTAAGCCCAATTTATTATGGATATTATTGTGTGATAGAAATAAATTGGAGACTAGTATTAACGCCACTAAATAGAATACAATCCATCGACAGCATGTTAGACAATTAGCCATTTTTTCCTCTTGTCTACGTCTTCATTGCTAGCTGAAGCTTATCCGACGAATGAGTGAACGCATGTGCAATTGTGTCCAGTAAGTATTGAGTTCTGCACAGCAGAGTCTTTAGTACAGTACTGTATACTGTACAGTGCATACAGTATACTGTACTGTACATGTACAGTCCAGTCCAGTACTTGTCCTGAACTGTACTGTACGTGTGTGGTGACGTTTGCTGCCGTTGAAAATGAGTCCAGTACTGTAATACCAGATCATACCAATACATAATAATAATGTACTGTACAGTGTACAGTATAAACTAAAGCTACAGTTGACAGTCTTCTGATTATAGTTAAGAAAGAAAACTCTTCAACTCCCTACAGTAAAGAAAAAAAACATCTCAACTCCCTAAAGTCAAGAAAAAAAAACTCTTCAACTCCATGATTCTTTCTCACTGTTGAGACCATGCAGTACTACAGTATACAGTACAGTATACTGAGCGTACAGTGTACAGTACAGTACAGACCCTCTATCTTGGAGATTCACAGTGTGGTCGTGAGGGGAAGATAAGGCCTAGAGAGAACCATGGTGTCCAATTTGAACAATAGATTGTCACGTCTCTCATACAGTACTGTAGAGGGTCTCTAGTGTACAGTACAGTGTACAGTATATCAATGTACAGTATTTTGTCACTTTGAAAAGCATCAAGCAGTGAACTTAACCCTTCGAACGCTTAGTACTATCTTTAAGAAGAAATTTTTTTCAAAAACTAAGGGATTTTTAAGCTTAATAAGCAAATACTGATTAAGAGTTGTTACATTCCATAGCATTGGAGTTACATACTAGAGACTCTCTAGTGTACACTGTACAGTATGAGGATGTCTCTATGCATGGACTTCTGCACTGGGGACAGACACTACAAGATGACTTCTGCACTAAGGACAGGCAAAATGGCCTAATACAGTACTGTATTAGGCTGTCAAATTCTATTATACCGTACAGTATAGTGTCCCGAACATTTTTGTCTTTGGCTGCTTAGTTTGCTTTCCATTCAGTCATTGATTGTCTGATAATAATTCTACAGTAGTAGTCGACCAGTGTACTCACTGTACTGTACAGTGTACTGTACTGTACAGTACAGAGTGTGAACCAGTTCGAATCAGAGTACTGTACTTTCAGGTGCCCTAAAATCACGAGAGAGAATAAAAATGTAACAAGAATTATACGAATATAAAGCTGAATTTCATCTATCTGTATGCATAGAATTTTAGGCAAATTTTGCTGCTTTACTACAATTTATTTTGCCTAATAGCACTCTAAAGAGAACTGGCTCACATCGTACAGTACATTGTACTGGACACTGCACAGTACATTGTACTGGACACACTGGGCTTGAATTGGGGTAGTACTGGACTGGACAGGACTGGACAATGGACGGTACAGTACTGTACGGCGTTACAGTACTTACTCCGCCTAATTACGGTACTTCGATCTCGACAGCGTAACGCTGGATTTGCACCAACTGACGTTTCTACGCACCAGCTAGAGATTGAATCGAGGATAGCTGATCATCGACCTACTTCAATGTTGTGAAAACAGAATTAGTGCTTTAATGAGAGGTAATCGTTGAGCAAGATTATACTGTACTGTAGTCAATTGATCGAGGTAGAAAAGCAGCAACCACTGTCATCGCTGTGTGGACGTAAGTACCCAATCAAGCTTGATAAAATAGATACGAGTACTGTCCACTGGACAGCAGACATGCAGCTTCGATCCAATCCAAAGCTAGCATCATTTTCAACTTGGACGCGTTTATTTTGATACAGGTAGAAGAAAATTGCTAAGAAAGGTAATTATCAAGCAAGTGTCGTATCATCGTCTACCAGCAATCAATCAATACTCCCAAGAGAAACGACATAGAGTCATGTTCAAGCGCAAACTGCAAGCCTTGCAATTCTATGCTGATCCCAATCATTTCCATTGCCAAGGTCAACACAACTTTAGTACATGTATTACGACCAGCTAGGATAGGTGTCGTTATTATTCTCTTGCATCAAGTACATTGATAATTTTGTACAATATAGACTAAGCCTATAGTCAGAGACGCTGCCATCGTCACGATGTGCAGTATCACCACAGCGTATTATCGATATAGTGCCATAAAATACAAGCTCAAACAATGCCCAAATTAATCTCATCTTTATCATCAATTTCACCAGATGAGAAAGCATTTCAAAATTTGGTCGTTTGGCTAGAAGACACGATTATAAGGCATTGCAAAGTCAATGAAAGAGACGAATTGCGAGCTATCGATAGCCAAACTTGGCCTGATCATTTTACAAAAGTGAGCCATAGAAACGAATCGATGATAGCATCACTTTTTGCGTCAATACTAATCAACTTCTTATAGATTGGACGTAATTCAACTTCCACCCTTGTTCTTAAAATAAATTAAACTCGTGATGAAAACTCTTTTTGTCTTGTTAGTACCTAAAATTACTGAAATGCCCAGTCAAATCCAATCAAAGGAAAGAAATTACTGAATGGCTGTTAGGATATGCATGTCGCTTAAAATTTCAAGACAATCGTAAGAACGACATCACAAGATATCTTTCATGCATAACTTATGACTGTATAATGAATTGATCGTCTTCATACTGTTTTAGTGCAATTATATCAGAGTGAACCCAACATTACTCTGCATAAAATACAAAAGTTGGAAATCGATGAGTTGTTGGCTATATCGGGTTGGTTTTATTCCACTATTATTCGTAACATCATGGGAAAAATCATTGCATTGTCAATTTTAATATTGCTTGCAATAAACATTTGATTAATTATCTCTAATTGCAATGATAATAATTATTCGTAAATACAATAATTGATTAAAATGCAGTAAAATTACTATAATGACTCTAATGATAGATGATGATCCTCAATTGAGATCCGGAATTAGACAACTAGCTGAACTACTTGAAATGCCACCATACCAAGATCAAGATCAACATTTACTAATGCTAGAGGTAAGTAAGATTGCGCTATATGTATTGATGTATGCTAAAATGCTGCATTAGTATGAAGAAACATATCTATAAAGTTCTACGCTATCCTGTCAATGATATGATAGCCTTAGTAGTAAATCATCTTCATTGCCTTATAGGGTATTCGTAATCTTATCGAAAGTAAACTGTCTTCAAATAGTCTTAATAGCAACCAATCAGCCCAAGAAGAGGTATGATTAGTAAGATTTTATACCACATTGAATTTAGCAACGTAATAATAATAAATTCATATTAAGTGCTGCAGTTGCTATTACGATATATCAGAAAGCTAGAAATATATTCTATATCAATGTCAATTTTTGCTCTAGCGATATGAATCTTTGTATGGCAGAACCAGAACGCTATTAGTTATACATTTTACTATTTGCCTATTTAGTGTTTTCTTCAAAGTTGAAATTTTAAATCATATATCAATCATTTTACGCTGTCTGTTTACTCTAGGAACTCTACCGCTCACTCGCTAGTACTCCTAGCTGTGTACCTAGTGTGAAAGGTATAGCCGACGTGTTCTGATACCATTGCAATCATTGGATGCTGTTAATTTTGGCACGCTGTGCAATAAATACATTTGACGCGTGTTGTTACTTTATCAAAACCTTTAATATAACTCATTATTACAGATCCAGTTGTTGAGCAGGCCGCAAAAATCATACAAATTCTACATATAGCTGAACTGCGCGAACTACAGAATGGTATTAATGCTGCTATTGTCGCTGTGCAACGTTTAACTGCCAATCCGAAGACAGATCGTTCACTTGGTAAAGTTGGAAGATAAAAAGTTTGATCATTTTGGATGAGATCGTTAGCGTTAAGGTTCGCGTTGTTGCTCTGGAACATCCGAAATTAAAGTGTGAAGATTATTTCTCCCACATGATAAGAGTAAACATAATCTTTTCAAATTAAACTTTATGTCCAACTCTAATAAATTCATATCAATAGGCCGATAAAATTTATTATCTAACTTAGTGTTAGGCCACTTTCTCATAATTATATGATTGTGCAAGATTTATTAAGCTAGTATAAATATGTAGACATTGCCTAACGATAAAACTACTGGCTCATCTATGAAACGTAAACGTAAATAATTTGACAATACGATGATAATTATGCAAGTCCTAGATGTTTTATATTAATGCACCGTACATGATATACTTGCGTTGGTAATCATCCCTTTATTGATATTGAAGAATTTTCCTTTAATTTCTTCACTCTAATAGTAAAGAGTAGAATTAGCTATATACTGTATATTGAAATAACAAATGATAAAATTCCTGAAACCTATTCGGATCATGAAATTACGGTAATCATTCTTACGTTGACTACGATTTCTTAACCACTCGTATTAATTTATTTTTTGTAAGACTAATGTAAATTAATTTGATGATTTTTTGCATTCTTAACTATTATTGTTTATTAATGGAAATTACCATATATTATTTCTATGGATAAAACTAGATTACTTCCACGATAATCTTAAATTAACAAGAGTTTCTATCAGATACTAGTTTATTAAATGTACCAAAAACAGTAATTGTTACACATTTTTTATATACAATCGTCTATCGTTAATTTAGGAGAATATCAAGCTCTTTCCAAGATATAGAATTTAATATTTACCTTTCATTATTTTAGCAAGTTTAAAATTTAGGATTGACATAATATTATAACTAGGATAAACTAATTTCTACAGGTATAGTAGATTCTAACATAAGTAGTTCACTACGAACAATTAATTATTATTCCTTCGTACAATTTTCGAGCAATAATTAATGAAACTACGGACTCACTTCTATATCTGAATTAATCTCCTACACTTAATTAGTACGGCACATACGCGTTCTTTAACTTTCGTAGTACTATAGCACAGCGATAGACCGTTATACAAATTTAAATTCCAACGAAAAATTACAATATCGAGATAGAATTACTCAATTTATTAACTTCAAAAGGCTTGTAATTACATAAAGTGGCACTGAACAATGAAAAATGTAGCATTTAGACTATTATTATTATTATTCGAATTTATCGTAAAAAATCTAGTCGTGTAATTAAGAAGTAAGCGGCTACTGCTATCGAAACTTATTGCTTATAAATAAATAGACATCCATCCCCACAGGCGGTTGTCTCCTTTCGTTAAATTGATCAACTTAAATATTAGCTAGCTCTATACTAGATACAGAGCGAATGGTAGTCTTTGTTGTGGTAAGTTTCGTAATCACTAAAAATTCAATATAGAAACTATGGACGAAAAAGATGTAGTTAAGTCGACAAAGTAAAATATGCTAGAATACCGTATAATTAGCAGTATTAGCGAATTAGATTATTATTTGTGAAGACAGAGCATAATGTAGTAATACTGCATATGGGAAAGAGTATCCTATTCTATGTTAAACTAAATTTACAAGAACACTCTCAAAATATAGACGATTTTAATACATTTAAGTTTATAAAGTCGCCGCAAGTTGCCGATATCAATTCTAAATATAGTGAAACTGATAATGCTAACTTGGTCCTTTAAAGTTGTTTCTCAGACAATAAATAGTCTTTTACTGCTACTTCTCTAAGAATTTGGAATTTACGACAGCTATCAATCACTTTTCTCAAAATGTTACAAGATGGATGATTACTGACTGACTTGTGCTTACTCTGAAGTAGTTGGTAACAGTTGCATCTAATTCTGATTAAAATTATATTGCAAATATCATGTGTAGTCGTGTGTTTTGTTTTTTATATTATTTAGCAGGCCATTAACTTTAGAACGATGTATTACAATGAAATTTAAAATAATAATAAAGCAGTACATCTAGACTAGAAGCAAATATCCCGGAAAACGGCTTCAAATGAGATTTCTATCTACAAGTCGTTAGTAAAAACAAGAATTACATAAAATAGTAAATGAAAGGTAAAATCAATCTTGACTATAGAGTCGAACAATTTTCGATAAGCCGAGAGAGCCGATGAATTAAATAGATATAGAGCTTGTAACATTGAATAAGGATACTATAACAGAGCAATAATAAATAAGTTGAATTTTCTCCGATTATAGAGCAAAATTTAAGCAAAAATTTCATTATATTATTAGTTCAATTTTATTCAAACACTTGTGATACCTTAGTATTACCATTATGCCAACATAGGTATTGATTTTAATTTTGCCTACAACCTCAGTATTAAATTGTATAATTTTGGATAGTGTATAAGTAGTGTTGTCACAAAACAACTTTCGTGATCGTACCTAAACTAGTCTATCTACTCTTATGGTTCTCCAACTAACTCCGGAGATCCTCAGTAAGGGAAAACTAACTTATTCCTATACTACAGTATAGTAATCGAGTCAAACGATAGGTTTAGTTTAATAAATATATTTATTACTAGCCCGTTTACGTTAGTACCAGTGCACTCTACGTTAGCCTCAGTAGAACTGAGATCAAAAATTAATAATCAATCTTATATACAATTTCATATGTCACACAAATAACCCCGGTGCTAACCTTTTACGTTAAATTATATAATGTGCAATACAGGCTTACTATAGACTAGACCGAGTGTTAATTAATACTTGTCACTAATTAATATTTATGAATTCCATATTCTGATTTTATTTGTACTGTGAGTAATAAAATCGTATAATTTAGGCTGATAGAGAATGTTTAGATCATGGTGGGAAAATTTCGGTTGTTTACGGGTATTATTTGGTTTTAACAGTAGGGGAGCTGCTCAAACAATTAAGGATCGAATGGATACCGGTGCCGTACTACAATTAACTGAAACTTATTCCCTGTGATTAGAAATTTATCCCACGGTTGGTTGTCTTCTTTAATTAATTAAATCGGCAATTTTAGTATTAGCTCTATGATAGATGCAGGACGAATAGCAGCCTTTGTTATAGTAAATTCTGTAGATAATCATGTCAAGTTTAATAGACGTGAAGTACTGTAGTCGGATTGCTTTAGTAAAGTAGACAATATAAGTGTGCTGGTTTACCGCCTAACGAACAGGATTAACTAACTTGATAGAAGATTATAATTGTTGTTTACGAAGACAAAGCATGAGGTAGTTATAATGCTATGTATGGTAAAGAGTATTCTACTTCCATAATTATAATAAAGTACGAATACAAGAGCACTCTAAATTTCTCGATTTAAATCCATTCAAGATTGCAAAGTAGCGGCAAGTTGATGGTATTAATTCGAATGCAGTAAAACAGGCAATGTTAACTTGTTCTTTCCGAGCCCCTTCTTAGAAATTGGATGTTGCTAAGGTACTTTTGTAGCAATTTCGGACGCATAACAACTGTCAATCGTTTTTCTTAAAATAGTACAGGATAGGTCATGGCCAACTTACGCATATGCTCACTCTAACAGACTTTAATAAAGACTAAAATATTTACTTGGTAACAATCACATATAATTATATAATCATCAACAAAATTATCTTTCAATTATCAATTTCATACTGTAGGTGAATAAGGAAACGCGGAAATCGATTGCTTGATATCAGCGTTGGTCAGTGTCAAAACTTGACTTTATATTTAAAATTAAACTACTGCAACCTATTACTTTTATCAGTGATTTAAATTTAATCTTTAATAGCATTGCAGAAAAAGGATGCGAAAGTTAAATTTGATTTATTTGACAAGAGAATCTGACTAAATTTATAAAATTAAGTAATTTCTACTACGACATTACCGCTATATGCCTAGAGTATAGCTAATGATGCCACTACTTTCCTAAGAAAAGACAGCGTTATTAAAAAATTTTCCAATTTTTTATACGTAAGTTTAAGTAATATGAAAACGAAAAATAATTGAAATGTTTCCACTGCAGTTAGATTCAACAATAAAAGTACGAGTGATTTGCATATAAAATATATTAAATAACGCTAGATGAGACTACCATAAAGCACTACGTATAGCAAAAATAATTTCCCAGATTAAAATCAGTAGCATGTACGTGTATTATTTAACCCTGGCAAGCATAGATTACAGTTGACGATAGGCATAGAACCACATGCATTTGCGCCTGAAATGAGAAAAGAAAAATTAATCAATTTTCTGTGTTATAAACTTATTGCATATGAGATATATATGAATAAGTTTCTACATACCTTGAGAACATTCCTTGATGACAGATGCAATGCCATCAATTCTATAGTATGATCCACCTAGTGGTTTAGTTGAAATTGGATCGAGCAATTTACCGGTAATTCGATGAATTCTTTGTAGATCATAAGAGGACCAGTCAGACCAATATAGGTAGTCACCATAAAGGGCAAGGGCAAATGGATAAATTAATGAGTTTCCGGTGCTAAAACCCTGATCAAATACGTAAAATCATTTAGTGTTGAATTAAACTTAATAATAAATCTAATTGATCATTACTTATCCTGGAAGTACTCGCATTCTACGATCAATTTTGACATATAAGATATGAAAGTTAATGAACTGATTAAAGATATCTTAAGATTTGACTATCGTTAGTGAGAAGTAACACTATACTACAGTATATGAAATGATGATTACAGCTTGATAATGAATCCAATTTGTCATCAGCGATCTTGATATACGTGTTTATTACAGTTAATTTGGATAAGTAAGAGATGTAAATTATTTAAAAAACTAATGAAAGCATAGTCACTATCATTGTATAGTAATAAAATGCTACACCTTACTAATTGATAATAGAAAATGGTGTTACTGATATTCTCTTGATAACTTTAAATTGGATTTAATAAAATGTACACGAATTGCCTCAATAAATTAGCAAGTACAGCCGCTGATTTAGTAAAATTTACCTTATGTAATGTCTTTCTACCTTCGCCAGTATAGCTGCAATATTCTACCATATTAGTTCCAGCATCCGCCCAATAAACTCTCTTAAGTTCAGTATCTAATGTCAGTGCATTGGGAAGTTTTAAATTCCCTACAACTAAATTGACTCGATCTTTGCCATCGGCTGTTGAACGCACAATTCTTGGATTCTCACGATTCCAATCAGTCCAAAAGATGAAACTATCGGACCCAATAAAGTAAGTTCGTAATTAGATGGAAGAATTTAAAGATTTCTATAGTGGATTGCGACATAAAATCATACGTTCGAAAGATGCATAATTTTTTACCCAACAACAGGATCAATAGCAATAGCTCTTGGATTGACTAATTCAGTATCAAACAAAACTTGTCGATTGGTTCCGTCCAATTTCATAACTTCAATAACATCATTGCCTGAATCAGTCCAATATATGGTACGACTGATAGAATCGATTGCAATACCTGAAAATGAGAAAGAATTCATTTATGTAGTGTAAAGATAAAAGCTATTCCAATTTACGAAGCCGAAACTATTTATTATTTACCTTCCACACTACTTGAATCATTCAGCGTAGCTACGACAGTAACATTGCCACCAATTGGATCTGATTTCATAATCGATTTACCGCCGCCAATATTGGACCAATAAATGCTATTTTCTTTGCAGTCGAAATCGATTCCAATGCCAAGCTGATACTGATCATGGACAATGACAGTTGGATCAGAGGTATTAGCAGGAAAGTTAACTCGTTGTATAGTATATCCTTGGGCATATGCTAGGAAAGATCCTTCATCTATTGATTGAAATTAAGTGCATAATTTTATTCGTTTTAGCTAGACCTGGCATTTACAGCAATACTTCTGTCCTTCTTGGATGCAATATTTTATAATAAGTATTTACTTTTATTGGCTGTTAGTAATTAGTCAGTTTTATGGGAACTAATGAACTTTTGCAGTTTTGATTTGCTAAGTAGCTTAAATATTACCAGTAGTGAGCAGCGCATTCATATTCCTTTTATTATAGTTTTTGTGAAGAAAAGCGATTTGAACAACGCTGTAGAGTGTACAATTTGGCAGCGCAGTAGTTATTTTTAAATTGGCCTTAATTTTAAATATTACTTCTTGATACAAGAAAGAATGAAAATTTGAGGTAAATTATGCTCAATCTTACTCAATTGGCAATATCGTCCTGCGAATCCAGGAGGACAATCGCATTCAGTGTCATTAATACATTTGCCACCATTAAAACATCGCTTGCAAGGTACTGTAATTGAAACAGGATGAATGAAAGCGAAGAAATCGAAAGATAAAATTGATTTACACACAGCATAGACCTACATTCGCAGAATGTCCCATTGCCTATAAATCCAGTTTCACATCGACAGGAAAAAGTCGAAGGTGAATTAGTGCAGATACCATATCGGTGGCAATTATGGCTTCCTTCTTCGCATTCATTTATATCTTAAAGTGAACGTTCATGTAGTAATGTTAGAATTTTAGTTCTATTTCATGCATCGCAATCTGTTTCCATTAGATTGGTTATCTCTTACCGGTACAATTTCCAGTTGGTGCATACGGATTTCCACGATAACCGTCATTGCAAGAACAGTTAAAGGAACCGATTGAATTATCGCAGCTGGAATTAGGTACGCATCGATAGGATTCTTCGACACATTCATTAATATCTAAGTCGAGGATATATAGAAAAACTCCGCTGAGTGATCAAATGCAAAAATTGAAGTTATGCTCAACTTATGATCAACAATGAATATTATATTGAATTAGCAAAGAATAAATTCATCGTTGCATTTGTTACTAGCCAAATTGGCCAAATATGTTTTAAGATAGCTTAAGTATGTAATGATTTTAATCCACAAGACCTACATTAGATTGAATATGAAATACTCTATTAATAACTTACATGTTAGATCAATAATTTATTATACATTAAATATAAAAATATATTATGGTAAAAATTAAAATGAATGATATAGGCTAACAGTTATTCGTACTGTTGATTGAGTGAAACATGGACGAAATTTTATTGCAAGATAAGTAAAGTATGTCTGAAAAGTACTATAACTTTATCTTACCAGAGCTTGATAAATTAACAATTTTGGATCAAAGAATAACATTGAAAAAGTAGGCTCTTTTTGCTGTTATAAATGAAATTGCTACATGATAGGTATTAACCTGTACAATTCTCTCCATTTCCCTTATAGCCTGGAAGGCAAGCACAAGAGAAGGAACCATTGCTGTTAGTACAAGATGCAAACTGGCTACAATTATTTAGCGTAGGGGATGAACATTCATTGATATCTAATTAAAAATATCAAAATAGTGAAGAAAAAAATCCTTAGATTCTCAAGATAAGAGTTGTTATCTTGATTTGCTTATAGTCCTACTGATGCAAGGTCATGCATTATCTAGGGAAGAAAGTAACGTTGAATGAACCTCGACATGATAATCTTCCATCGCCTTCATAACCGGGTTTACAGGTACAAATTTCATCACCAGCTCTATCGCGGGTACAAATAGCGTCACGATGACACAATCTACATGGTATAACTAAATTAAAATATCGTTATTATTCATCATGAAGCTACCAATTGTAGCTATCAATTTTTGCCTTTAATGTTATTTTACATACGGATTATAAATTTACGAGGATTAAAGCTTTAAATTTGAAACCATTGATGATCGTCATTATATCACATAGAAAGCATATATCAATTTGTGTTTACAGAAAGAACTATATATCTATTTAGCTGGCTATCTAAAATAGACTGCTAAGGAGCATATTTTATGTTCGATAGACGGAGCTAAAAGTTTATAAAATATAATTGCATATACCTATGCTATTTAAATGGCATCAAATTAATCTTATCTATCAGGCTGGATTAATTATTCTCTATTAAATGACTAGGTTAAACATCGGTAACTAGAACTAGTTTTAGAGTTTATATGGCCTAAGGTGCCGTAATCGTAATGAAATCTAGCTGCATGATCGCACTTACATGTACAATTATTTCCATCGCCATAGTAGCCATGCCAGCAGTCGCAGTAATAGGATGCAATTGTGTTAGTACAATTAGCGTATTGGCTGCAGTTATTGATACCACTAGAGCACTCATTTAGGTCTAAAATCACGGAAATTGAAGGCAAGTTAAACTTGAAGAAGTATCTGATAACAACTAATAATAATGCGATTATGAAGTGTACCGATGCAAGTATTATTTGCTGTCTCAAGATAACCATGAAAACATTGACATTTGTAGGAACCAGGAGTATTGATACAGTAGGAATTACTTTTAGGCTGACAAATTGTACCATCATAACATTCATTAACATCTGCATAAAATATTTAAAGACGTTTAACTGCTGAGTTTAGATATCAATATTAACGTGATTAGATAACTTAAATACTGCTGTTAATTTTCCATAAATTAGATAAGAAGGTACACATGAAAAGGATTTTAATTAGCTGACCTATACAAACATGCCCATCACCAGTATAACCTTGAGGACAGACACAACGATAGGAATAAGGTTCTGTAAAACATTGAGCAATTGGATCGCAATCATGGACACCCAGTGCGCAAAAGTTGACATCTGGTCATATATAGCAAAATAAATATCAAATCATCGATTTAGATTGCTTCAGTAAAGAGTTATTCTTACTTAAGTTAAGAACCTATACCATTTATACTTGTTCCTGAGAAGTGATACTGAAATTATGAATTGGTTGAATAAGTAATTCAACGCATTTCCTTATTTCACTCAAAATCATTATGCATAACTAACAATATCATAGTTATACAGTCAGCTACTGTTGCTTTAGTTATAAACTTAATATTAATTTGATATTGAAATTAATAATGTGCTCTTCTGTGCTCTAAACTGAGATATAAATGCTTTTGGAAAATATATATTGAAGATGTAAATCGCAATTATGGATACTCAGTGCGTAAAAGTTGATATCTGGTCATAAATAGCAAAATAGGTATGGAGTAATCGCTTAAAATCGCTACTGTAACAAGTGATTCTTATGTTAATTTAAGAACCTATGGTAATAAAATATTTCACAATATAAATCAAGTATATTAATACATAGCATGTAAGTATCATATGTTAACTTATTGCCATTTCTATAATTATTCCTGGGACGCGATATTGAAATTAAGAATCGGCTGGATTAACATTTTAACGTAATTCTTAATTTCAGTCAAGCGCATTATGCAGACCGTCAAATATCATTACTATCAGTCTGCTGCTACTACTTTAGTTATGAACTCAATGTTAATACGATATTGAAATTAGTTATATGAAGTTCTGTGCTTTAAATTGAGATATAAATACTGTGGACAAAATGACGCATAGAGCATTATCAATCGATTGCTTACCTCCAGAAGTATTGGTTAAAGCAAATGTCGTCGTAGACTGAACCATTTGGCGAGTTGGATCATAAGTAAATTGCCTATATGAATCTGTTGAACGAACGCGAACTCCACTGGCTCTCCAATCAGAGGAACATTGCGTGTGATAGATGAATCGAGTTGTACGATAGATGGCATTGGTTCCGTTGAGGTTAACATGATTATTTATGATGGCTAATTCCTTACCAGGAGCGACGTTATAGAAATATTGATCATTGGCTTCAAATTGGGCAAATAGATCTGTTTGGTTGGATGTGGCGTTATTTGAAAGCTGAGTCACATCTGGAAATAGTCCAGATGTTTCGATATTGATGAGTATATTATCGGCATTAGCATCGGTAGGAACCATCGAATATTTTAGTACAAATGCCGATTGGAGACCAAAATGAATTCGACTTGTACCATGAAAACCATCGCCAGCTAGACTATGGCCATTAGCAAGGGATTCTGGTTCGCCGACTGCTCGATCTGCATAGTACCAACCTAAGAGTAATCCCAATTCATCTAAAATAACTTCAGCTACAATTACTTCCTCAATCGGAATTCGTGACATGGCTAAATAGCATCGGCAAAAGCTACGAGGATAAGCAAGGCCGTGCATTTGTGCAGAAAGTGTAGTATTGCTATTCTGACGTTGGACGTTGATTTGGACGGTGGCATCAGCCAGTGACATCGAATGAACTAATTCAAAGTTTTGGTTTATAATAGAAAGATAAACTCTACATGAGACGTTATTAGGCCAGTAAAACTTTAAAATCGATATGAGTCCAACTCTAATAAATAGTAATAATAAACTGATAGCTGGAAGATGACATTGTTGCATCCTCCCAGCTATAAAATACCAATATTAAACTTACTTTGACTATAGCAAATTTTGCCGTTGCCTTTCGTTCCATTAGGGCATGCACAACAGTAACCAGTGGCATAGTTGTTACAAATAGACTGACTGGAACAGCGCGGATAGCCCATAGAGCACAGATTAACGCCTATTTTAATTAATTTATAGAAAATTAGCACTGTAATGAAGAACTTGCATAACTGGATAATGGCATTTTATTTACAAGTGTCAACCTATTCGATGTGAGATTCTGTGGCAATTAATTAATTATAGCGTCATCAACGATATAATTTTGTTAAGTAATGAATCATATGTTAACATCCAGCCATGAATTAACTACTATCAAATGTCATAGAAAGAGTGCTGTGATTCTTGCTATATTCAGTATGTAGACTTGGCTATAAATTTATTACTGCTTTGCACCAACGATGTTTGTAAGGCTATGTAAAAGCCTTAAAGTTCTTAATTAAGGGAGTTGATAAGCTGGTCTATCACAGATAGTTATCCGTTGTTAGTAGTAGATTGTAAGTTGTGAGTTCAATCGGTTATTTCAATGAATAGCTTTTGGAATAAAGTTTTGATTCTTAACGTGAGTATTCTATCGTCTAAGACGCGAATCTAAGTTTGGTAGATTAATTAAAGAGTGCTTAGAGTTAGTTAAGACTATTTTAGAGGAAAGATTCTCATTAATTTTTGTTTTTCAATCTCGGTTGTGACAGATACTAAATTATTACGCGTTGTAGTTATAATAATGATGAATTCATTGATATGGAATGTAAAAGTAATCACTTTAGAGCAAATTTTGATAATTTATACCGCAGTTAAAGTAGTGTAATTTGGAAAAATTAAAAATAATTTATTATGCGCTAGGTTACCAAATTAATTTTTGTCAAAATTTATTCAAAGCATATTTTCAGGATCCATTCTCAGCAACTGTGAGATACTAGTTATTTTGCTATGATGAAGTACTGTATGATCGTTTTATGAAAATTGAAAAAAAATGAATCAAATTTAAGATATTGAATAAGAAAAATTATTACTTAGATACTTTAAATCCAAGAAGCATAAAAACTTATTCGATTTTAATAATTGCATAGTCTGATTCTTTGACATCATAGGTTCGATAAATATTGAAGTCGAAGGGTGTAAGCGTAGAATGGGAAATACGTATTACTAGCAATATTAACCCTTAAGGTACAGTTGAATGGATGGATCAGTGATAAAGTTAGTAAGTTCTAAAATTTTGATTCATATCTTCGCTATTCGTTATACAATTTGATTGCCAAGTATAAATAAGAATATTTACGCTGAGGAATATAATTCTATGTATTGACTTACTGGATCCATTGACCAGGACAGCTGGTGTTATCTTACCGCCTTGGCCAGGGCTACCATTACCAATTTGATATAACCACTTGCCAGGTATATCCACATTGGATAGTGAAGGCAGTGCTGATGCATTAGCGGTGCTTGAACCATACAAAGAATAAGAGCCTATTCCGTTGCCTAAATATCATTGCATGAATATCTTGTATTCAGTGCCGATTTAGCTAAGTCTAATATCCTAAAATCTATATTATACTGCCTGCATAGATATTTCACCATTAATTTGATTACAAGATAGGCAGCACTATCTTCTAACCTGCGGCAAATCCTATCAGTGGATATCTTGGAGTTATGCCTAGTTTTGGTTGTGATCTTAGCCAGCGTAAACCGTCATTTTCATATAGAAACATGGCATAGCTTTCACGCTGACCATCGGTGACAATAACAACTTGAAAGGTATTTCCCTAATAATGTAATCAAAGAGGGCACGAGTTATCTACTATGCATCAGTATTTTCTAATATTTCAATATAATTGGGCTACAGCTAATTCCAATCACTAAGTATACATAGTATATACGTCAAAATGCCGATTTATTTCTTTACTAATCATTAATTATAATAAGATTGGATTTATTCTGAAATTTCAAAAATAGTTTATGCTTAGAATACTTAAACCAAAGACTTCTTAGGAGTCCCTACTTATAACTTTTGTGTATAGTCTATCTCTGAGATCATGACATCAAAATTTAAATTGTACAAAAATAAAACAGTTTTACTATTAATACTATTTATGATCATAAATTCATTTAATTAGATACAAATGAGCAAATAGATCTATTGATTGTATATAGCTAAGAGTAATAAGAGATGTAATTCGATGTTTAATATATTTCCATGCTGAGCAAAGTGCGGCACATAACAACAAATTTTTTAAGAGTAGATAAGGAAAACTAAACGTAAATTATGTCATGAAATAGAAATGGTGAATAAGTCTCGAGAATAATAAATATGTAGCTAAGTATGGCATGCAACAATAAAATTTTAAGAGTGGATAAGGAAAACTGAACGTAGATTATGTCATGAAATAGAAATGATGGAAATGCCTCATTAATTCAATATTGTAATAATCAGGCTAGTAAGAATATAACAAGATAAAGACATGCTTATTCGGTTAAGTTAGTAACTTTTAAATCGATATTTACGGTAGCATCTTATTTCAAGTCTTATTTTATGCAGTTTGTAAGCACTTACTGGTGTACTGCTCGAATTATAAAATCCGACATTCTCCCAAGTTGCGATAAATGCTCTTTGGGCTACAAATGTAGACGCTCCTGTAAATGATTTTTGGATATTAGTAGATACTTGACTTAACAACTGCTCTGTTGAATCTTCGCGGTAATAAATGACACCAGTTCCTCTTGTATCGATGTGATCGGCAAAGGGACAAATTATGGGTATCCGAATAGAATCTAAATTGAAGTTAATGGCTATCATGGATGTTGCACCCGTTCCCAATGTAATTATGCCATTAGTATGGACCTAAAATAATTTATTACTCGACATCAAAATAGGGCAATGAATGAATAGGAAAAATTCTAGTTGTTAATCACAGCGAATATATTCCATAAACAAAGATGTATTATTCGAAATAGTTAGAATAGCATCGATAACGCAGCAATTGGTTTGAAATTTATCGATACTAGAAGTATCTATTTTACAACTTTTATCAATTTTATTACCTAAGTGTTTCAGTTAATATAAGACTATTACTGCATTACGGTCCTAATTCTACACACGGCGAAGTTTTAAAAAAATATTTAACACTTGATTATATTATGCTGAGGAATCGTTAAACTTATGTGCGTAGGTATAAGCTTAGCAGTTAATATCAGAGCAATAGTTGTGATGCTAATCAAGATATTTACATATGACCTAAGAAAATGCATAAAATTTGATCACGGTACTGTATGAAAATCTTTTAATTTAGGAATTTCGACTATATCTACGAACAACTGCCTTACAGGGAACATGATGTGATCTATTTACTCGACCACATTTTAAATTGACGATGATCTTACGTATAGACACTTATTTACATGCTAAGGGTAAAGTATGTGGTAATTAGATTACTGAAGCAAAGCAGAAACTGCTATTTCATTTACGAACAATTACTTGAAATTGAACAGAAACTTTGAACAATATTAGTATAAACGACAAACATTCTTTTCAATACAGCCTATACTTTATTCTCTTATCAACATATTAGCGATGAATGGCGATATCGAATTAGTATTACTAATTTTCGTAGGTGATCTAAAAGAAGAAATCCATTTTCTTTAGATGGCTTAATAATGGTTTAGGATCGCTTGTCATACAAAACGTAATCTACGAGAAATCAACGGTAGCGTTTAAGTAATTACAGCGAGGAGAAACACTGTTAGGGAACTTAGCAAAGAATTTATATGTAAAAAATTACAATGAGCGTATTTTATTAACTGCACTGTAATTAATATCGATATCAGTTATCTAACTTATTTATAATATCTTTTATTCTCATTTGTTACACATAGCAATAGTAATGCTAAAATGATTAATTTCCAATTTTAGAATAAAGTAAAGATTAGAATAGTCCCACCTACGATTAATTAGCTGATAAAATCTAGTAATACATATGCATCAACATCAATAGAAAAATGGTTTCACAAGATCTAGTACTAATTTAATGCAGGAGTTATTATGAAAGTTGATAAACTCTGATCCTCATTTACTCACACAGTAACTTTAAGATCGTCGCTAATATAAGTTAATGGATAATACTAATTTTCAATTTTGGGATAGACTAAATATTGGAATAGCCAATGCTACGTTTAATTAGATAAAAAATCTATTGATCCATATGCATATGCATCAATAAAAGAGTAATTAGCGCTATTTTAATGCAAGAGTTAGTATGAAAGATGGAAAACTCTAGTCCATGCTTGTTCACGCTTCAGTTTTAAGATCATTGTTAATGTTAATCAATAATACAAATTTTTAGTTTGGGATAGACTAAAAATTTAAATAGTCCCTACTATATTTAATTAGCCGATAAAATCTATAATCTGTATGCGTCTGCATCAATAGAAGAGTAGCTCCGCAAGATTTAGCACTACTTTAAGGCAGGGTTAGTATGAAAGAAAGATAGAAAACTTTAAGCCATATTTATTCACGCTTTAAATTCAAAATCATTGTTAATATTAATAATTAGTAGGTAATTTTAATTAGATGATATGCTTTCAGAAATTTATATTCTGTATATGACTTACCTGAATCGTTTTATAATGCTTGTTATAGAAAAAATAGTCAACTGTAGATGTATAAAGGATTTTTTGATAGTCGCTGCGTGGAACAGTTCGATCAAGACTATTAGCAGAGGATCCATACGGAAAAAATTGGGACAAGGGTATAGAAAGAACTACATTACAACTAATAAAGAGGGTAATTATCAAGCTTAGCCATGATATTTTGTCCATTTTATCTCATCTATCTTACTGAAGATGGCAATGATAATATGGACTAATACCTAATGTTGAAATAGACTTGAAATTTTTCAGCTTACTGATTCTCTTAATAAGCTCACTAAGTACTGTACTTTGCAGTTGTAGTTTTGCTCCTAGTTTTCGGACTCGAGAATACCCCAATTCTGGTCATTTACGGTTAAAATTGAGTGAATAAAGTACTACTGCATGTTCATCCTGGTCTAGACCCTGATCACATGATCTTAGCATTCCACAAGATGAAGATCTAATTTAATTTATAATAAATAAATAGTTACCAAGTGTTTTAATCCAATCAAAGTCTTAGCTGTCACTGCTTGCTGTAGGCGAGATGCTAATTTTTACCTTTTAGAATAACATATTCATATTGTGCTATTTGTATGAAGTCCAAAGACTAGATAGAACGTGAAATTATTTTATTTGTATTAATAATGTCAATATAACTTATAAGTTAGATTGAGCATGATTTTCGTGCAACATTAAGGGGTTAAGAACAGTATTGAATGTGTATCTAAAGTATCTTCAATAATTAGGCTGGAATGTCATATCGAGTTTACAAATCGAACTTAAGTCCAGTGGGAGACCTATTGTGACCATCAATCTAGGATTATAATATACGTTATGATAAATCAACTTAAAATATTTCATGTATTTTTAATAATATTTTAAAAGAATCCTATAAGACAGCTAAAAATCAGATGCATCTACCAGAACTATTCTATATTGAACTCGTTACAAACGGATATGATGAATATCTAGCGGTAATAATATATCTTTCATATGCTATCTGTCAAGAAGCTGTAAAAGAAATTCTTCTTGAAATTCTTGTTGGAATAAAATATATACTTATTGAGGCCTAATAGCCTCATTCTTTGTGGATAATATTACTCAAATATTCCGCCAAGGTCCGTTTTAAATGACGTCTTTATTGTATGAAACTGCAATATTACTACGTTTGTATCGGTTTTTTACTAAATCTGCTATTGAAATTAAATTTAATGTTACCAGTAATTAAGGCCATCAAGACTTAGCACGCTTTTCAATCAAAGAATGCTTTGCTAAATTATTAGACCAAGAAAATTTATAATGAAAAATATAGAAGGCAATACTGCAGTGTCGGTGGTATTTGGTCAGGCGAATAAAAATTAGCCAACCTGGCTGTTATTCACTGTAGAAAAGTAATTGATTGACACCTACAATTGGACTCTGTACTCTTTACTCCTATTTTTCTGTGGTAGAGCAAGAAGACCCCTTAGGACATTGCTGGCCACGCTAAATTTATATATTACATATGCTACTGGTATCAAGTTGATGATAATAAATGTATAGTAGAGCACAGTATTTTTAGTCTTCGGTCTCTGGTAGTATCTAACATACCGTAGCCATGTACTAGTAGAAAACAATTCTGATACAGTAATTCATTTTATCAACAAATACTTTAAATATTCTTCATTATATCACTTATATTTCATTAATCTCTTCCTGCGGAAACAATTTTCCATTACTTTTTCACGCTTATTTTCTATCCATTATCTAATCCTGAGGCTACGATTTGACGCCTTAATTTAAGTTCAAATATATTGCTTCTGTAGCATAGTCAGAGCATAAAGAATAGTTGGATAGTCTTCTCTAGATGTTTCCAATAATTTTTATTCATAGAGTACGACAGTTTACGTTCAATACGTTAGCGCTTACATGATATTGCTAGATCGTGATCATGTATTCTATTTACTTAGAAGTTACGGACTAGTATGAATTATACCTAAACACTGATCTGTTTTATCGATCAATATCCAAAGAAAGCATACAATGATGGCCTAATTCTGCTCAATATGATATTAATATAAGCAATAAAGTATGACTGGTTAGTGCGATATAAAACATTGCCATTCGTGTCAGAATTTTTGATACTTAGTAATTGTTAGCAAACTGGCATCTAAATGAATGCTAATACCGTAGAATCTACATATCCAATCTAGTTAAGCATTTCAATTAATTTAAAAGCCTAATAAGTTATGAAGTTATCGTTCATTTTATTGCCGTAAATATGGAGTATTACTATAATTACTTATATGCTTTTATAATTATAACCGAATGTGATGTAAAGTTGGGATTTAATACGAATGTATAAGCGCTACTATGAGGCTTATACAGTACAAATAAGTAATATGGGAAGACTAGCTTGCGATAATTTAATTTAAGAAGTTCACTTCGTTATTTCATGATGGTATAGATTAATATGCAATAAACGTGAAAATGCAACTGTGACTAATAATAATAACCAATTATTGATATTACGATGTTCAAGCACACACCAATTAGCCAATCATCTTTAAACTACGATACTTAAGTTAGTCTAGGCAATGGTCATAAGCAAAACATAATATCACACTATTAGCTGTTCTTTAAACTTACAGAGAAAATTTAGGCGAATTTGAACTATTTCAGTGGATGATATACCTCATAACTATTCTTTAAATAACTGTATGTCGTGATACTTGTTTACTTGTACGTTTTATTGTCTTTAGTCTTAATTTAATTATCTAAAAAGCTGCTATTAAATGATTTGGTAATTTGCCCCACAGCTTTTTGTTTATATGTCTTTTAAAGGAACTTCAGCGCCAATTATTTTTACCTAAAATAAACGAAATCAACATACATATACGATCATACTGTAAGGAAAGTTTAATATATCTACAGAAATTCATAATTAAGCCACAAAGCTAACCATATCACTGGTCCTTTCATCAACTATGCTCTGCTGAGGAAGAGTTCTATAGGTTATAATGCAATGCAAGCATATGCAAAAAAAGATAATATATTCCATCAAAATAATAATATCAGCGATGGCGTTGCTGGCTACCATGCCATAAGTTTTTGACCAGTTATTCAAGTTATAGACGATATTAATTCTCTCTGGTAGCGACGGTAGACGACTTAGATTATAGACGACAATTCCAAATCCTGCTACTACTGCCACGGTGCTTGCAATTGCAAATCCTAAATGGATTTGAGCCTTTATTAAATTCAATTTAAGATCCTGATTAGCGAATAGTATAATGCATAGTGCAGTAGTTGTAGGATATCAACTCATAGAAATTGATTTGGTAATATTTAGAGTTTTGAATATTTCATTAACGCTTATATCAAAGCAAATCTAGCAGATTTTAAGAGCATGATTAGCTTTATTAGTGACGTAAGGTATATATCCCGTAGGACTTATTTCTAAATTGAAAACGGTGAAAAAATAAAGTGTGCTTCTTAAAATGCTATATTGCTCAATTAAAATGAAAAAAAATTGACTGTTTACGAAAATTCAGCATTAAAATTTTAATTAGGTGGCAAATGATTGCTGAAGAATTTGTTTTTGGTTTGTTACAAGGAATAAAATAAAATTAAAAATAGCAAATTTTGATGAAAGAACGTCCTCCATTTATATGAAATAAATGTATAAGATCACTAATAGCAGTTCTGAAAATTAGACTGTCGCAGAAATGTATTAGTATTCTTTAAAAAATAGTTCTGAAGATGACTGATAATCTTCGTTTACGAAATGATCTAGATTAGACGCATTATTAATTAATTAAAATCAAAACCTACCATTAACTTAAGAAAAATTTCATCTTTGTGAACCATAACACCAACTATTCCGGTAATAATAATCTAAACGTAGCATGACAAGAGAAGGTAAAGCTGGGTTGTCTTGGCAATCTATTTCAATCGCAATTTCTAATTATTCTACATGAACATAGCATACACTGTAGAAAATAGAAATTACTGCAACTATTTAAGTATAAATTACGCATATAAGAGTTAATAGCTATTATAATGATATGAATATCAAATCACCACAGTTCCAATATTCATAGATGTTTTACATTGGGAAAGAACAAATAAAATCACCGGTTTTGATTCAGAAAGATTGGCAGAAGAGTACAATTTTCATAAGCATGAACTAAGAATTTTGTCCAACTTCTTATATAATTTATATATATTACTATACATATATATTTAGTAAATGAAGATCGAATCATATATACTTGGATTAGCTATTGCACTAATAAATGCGATAGCCAGAGAACATGTACGTAAGCTATCGTGATTCTAATAATTGAGGTGTAAGTATTTTTAACGTTAAAATAAAATATCCTTTTGATTCAAAATGATATTTATGAGTTTCTCTGTACTGATTATGGGAATAAGCTACTGCAGTTATTGTGAAAATGCTTTCAATTAACTAAAATAAGTTATCAAAACATGTTTGCTTGTCCGGAATAAGCGGAGAACGCATTATATCAAAGTGTTTAGAGTAGCAGCCTGATTTCTTAAGGATGTCTTAGAGTAAGTTGCTGTACTACGTGTATCCATCATATATTTATGGCTGCTGATAGCAATTTGAGTAAATAGAGCCTGATGTTAACTAAGGATCTCGCTAAAACCTCCTATGTAATTAGTAAATGAAGATCAAATCTTATACTTGGATTAGTAGTAATCATGGATAAATGTCTAAGCCATTACTTTGATGCATGATATAGCTTACTAGCAAATAGGATAACAGCTTAGAATGTTAATCCAATATTTATTGAAGATAGTATTACTTACCAATCCTCCAACCCAATAACAGTGGCCAAATAATCCTACTCCAAGAGTGTAATAAGCAAAGTTTGGTACTGATAATCTAGCAATTCCTACGCCTACTAGAAGGGTAGCCATGATGACGATCGCTTTGCATTCATAAGTTAATTGGCGCATTAAAGTAATTAACCTGTCCTGGTGTACAGAGTTGGTAATTTCATCGCGAAGCTTTTTAGTTGAATCCATCTTGAGTTTAACTTTAAATGAGTTAATTTCTAAACTGGAAATTTTCTGTTAGTCCTGGATTTGCTGAAATTAGCAGTTTTTGACGTAATTGAATAAATTATTTTAACTTCTTTAATTTTAATTTTAATTTAAATGTTATAAGCCATATATAACACCCGTATTTGAATTTTGATTTAAAACAAAAAATCTGTAATTAATTAGGGATAATTATGAAGTTTATTTGTGCTACATTTTATGACGTCAAATTAATTAAGGATTGAATAATACATTTCTACTTTTTAAATTAGTTATTTAGCTAAAGCAACATAAACTGTCTACTTTATTGGAAGTTTTCTAATTTGAATACTAAATTACGCTACATGACTATTTGGCTACATGGATCAAAATAAATTTTATAAATTTAAGTCTCCTGTCGATGCACATGTAGCATAATTATCATCAATTAAGTCAAGTCGACTTTTATGCTATCCTAGGTAGTATAGAATTCAATTCTTGCTAGGTAAGTAATAAAACTATAGAGGTAAGACTTACATTATACCTGTCAATTTCTCCACTACAAATGTAAGTATAAAAATATATTGGAAGAAACTTTGTACTACGTATGAGCGTAAAACGCAAAGACAAAGAAATGGATATTAAATTCTATTTCACTTAGAAAAAGTCAGGCTTAAGTAATTTAGAATGAACTATTAGAGTAAAAGCGATCACGCTTTTATGGAACAATGTGTTTTAATTTTTTAGTTTTTAATTTTACTATAAAGTCATTGTAGTCTTTTGGAATTCTATATTATAGTTAAAGTCAATTTTTTAAAATACTGTTGACTAGAGTAGAAAGTAGACCAAGCGTATTTGAATCTGAGTTGAAGATTAATTTTATTACTGCTCAAGGATTTGGTTATTACTTCTTATCATCTATGATAAAAGTTGGGTCGTAAGAACCGATGTTTTATTTATTATTTCTCATTGTTTTCAAAGTACTTTAGTAACGCTGCAGATATTAACTTACGTTTCATGATTTGAGTCTCCATTTCCGAAAATTTTAATTATAATGATCTGTGTATTGAAGTAATTTAATTTATTTTAACTGCATTAAGTTCATAGGTTCTAAATCTAATTTGGAGAAATAGTCAACAATATCTATTATTTATTCAGTTGATATTTGATGTCTGATAGAATAAACTAGAACACTGCTTATAGTACTGTAGTTATTAGTTATCACCAGTCCTTACAAAATATCCGTAAATATTTAAGACATAAATCATTACTTAGATTCATATTATGTAAACTTGGTAATAGAAATTGATCATTTACTCACCTAGTTGGCGAAAATTAAACTTAAAAGACATAAAATTAAATATATGAACATGTGTACCAGGCACAAACTTCAACTATAGTGGTTTATACATTAAAATAATTCAATTGATTTTAGCTACGCTAAATTACTAGTACTAAATATAACTTGGAGTAAAGTCAATTCTTTCATTATTTGTTAAATAAATATTCGATGTCGGATGGAATAAACTACAAGATTGACTAGTCATTTTTAGTGATCACCGATCCTTATGAAATAGCCGCAAATATTAAAAAAAATGAAACATTACATGATTGATATTACAGCGTATAAATTTCGATAAAAGAATTTGATCATCCACTTACCTAGTTGACGAAGTATTAGATTTAGGCTAGCTTAAAATAAAACGTACAACGCATACACCATGGACTATCCAAATGCTACTTGTCGAAAGGCTTTCACCGTTGTGGTGTTTTCAAGGTTTAGAAAAGAAATATTATCCTCCTTAATTAAATACAAATGCTAAACAGGAAGCTAGAAAATATTTTGAGAACAGTAATTAATTTTTATTGTTTTTGAATAAAACTAGCTAACCAATTAAATCGATATTTTCATAAAGACGTTGAAAAGAATGACATTTTGACACTTCCCTTGAAAACTAACACAAAATGATTGGTTTAGAAATGTATTAAAAAATTATAGTAAATTAAAATCCTATTCCTACATCATTATATTAAAACTATGCTTATGCTATATTAGACTATTCTTTTAATGCTTATGCAGTTTCTGCCTGTTATGTTGCCAATTTATGCATGAACTGTTAATTACAAGCATTTACAATATTTTTAAGGTAAAAGAATTACCATGATGATGCTTGGTAAAGAAATACGTCAAGAATACAATATTTTGATAGGATTAAAATGTAAAAAGGATAAATTTCTTAAATCAACGGTATAGCAGAAAGCATTTTTTAGGCATTTCTCTACCCTATTCCATCTTAGTAACCACTCTATTAAAAATAAAAGCTAAGCTATGGTAATGAATTGAGTGGATTACTTCAGCAAAAGTGGCACGACAATTTTATGCTAGCATATCGTAATGTATTTAAATTAAATTTAAATTTAAACATGAAATATTTTTGATTAATATATTTACTGTTAACTAAATGGTTTTTTTCAAATAAACATTTTATCAGTGCTAAAAAACGCCTACATTAGCTACGAAATTTTGAAATGAATTTGAGCAACCTTGGTGATTAAAGACGTTTCTATATCACTCCCCATTTCGGACAACTTTGGCGTTCCAAATTTTGTCATTGCACTATCGTAATGTGGATCTATCATACACTAAATAGTTTATACGAGTGCAAATTTTGATAGCCATAACGCTAAAGTTTGGAATATCCAAATCGAAAATAGTTTAAATTACGGTTATTTAGGCACAAAACCACTGTAGACTAGCTATCAGTCAGATTGATGTTGCCGGGCTATGTTGAATAATTTAACTGACGATTAACCCTTTATGATCATACGCTTATACATATATCAAATTCATCTATTTAGAAGTGAGCATGATATTTTGTCCAATTTAAATTGCTATTATCCATTAGTAACTATCATATCTCATAAATTAATTTTATTTTAATGAATATCAGTCCTACTATGGAATCAAATGTTCTGTTTGTTGCCTGCGATACAATTCCGGTTTGATATAATGGAAAAGTTTAAACTTTAAATTGAAAATTTTGAAGTAAGCATTTTAATTTTAAAGCCAACATAGAGAGTTATTATTAACCACGTCCAATTAAAATTATTTTAATATGACATTGACTATATTTCTTCTATTATTATAGCAGTTGCTAATCAAAACTGTCATTCAACTCATTCACAATTCAATCATTTACATACAAGTTAAATGGAATCAATCAATCTTAGTGAAGTTATAAATTTCTATAGATTACAAAGAAACAAAAATTAATAATCCTTATTTTAATTTAATCTCCCAACAATTACATAATAATAATATTTAGATTGGAATTTGAATTAATAGCACCAATTACTGCCTTAATTTTGGAATAGAATAAGATAAAATATAAAGTAAAAACCAAACCTAATTGATAGAATAAGTTAATTTTAACAATTGTTAAGATTAAGCCTCTATGACATTAATTCTCGTGCAGGTTAATAAATATGCAAGTCACGTAACAATATCCATGGAACAAGAGTATAAAAAATATTATTGAATTTCAAGAAAGCAGATATTAATTCTCTGAACCCGATTTTTTTATTTGTAGTTGGTCAATGATTAAATAAGTTTCACATAGATTGTAAAATAATGTAAGTTGTATAAATTCATGCAAACTTAATAAAATTGTCATTAATCGATTGCCTACTCTAAAAAGATCTCATAATAGAGCTAATGAATGCTATCATCATGCATAGCATCATGTTTTCATGCTAATTCACTGTGCGTTAATCTGTGAATGAATCTAATTATTGAAGAGGTTTAACATTTTTGAATCAATCAGTTGCATCTGTTTGGCTCTAGATTTTCATCTAGGCCTTTAAGTTATACTTAAGTCAATAATGTGATGATTTATTCAGCTAATGTGAGACTCTAATAAGAAATAAGTATTTGAGGAATTAATTCTTAATTAATTAAAAGTCTACTTCTGTACTTTTACCATCAATAGAAGCAATGAATATTATCATCGTTTTAATCCTTTTAAGATATAACAGTATGTTTTTTAGATATTCTCAAAGAGAAATTATATTTAGAAGCAATAATACATTCTCATCTTTTTAAGACATATCCGTAGATATTTTCAACGAGAAATCACATTTAATAGCAATAATTATTATCATCTTTTCAGGATATTCCTGTATGGTTTAGATATTTCAGAGAGAAATTATATTAACACTAGATATGATTCTTAATACAATATACTCGCAAAGGCTTCTGCGTAATTAAATGGCAGACTCAATATTAGCTTCACAGAAGATTTTAATAATCGCAAATAGAATGCAGTGTGCATTCAGATATAGAAGTTCTCTGGTATGGTTATATATTCAGAGACTGAGGGCGATAATATTGAAAGAAATCTGGTTTGCACTAATGTAATATGCCAAGCTTTACATATATGTTACTGTAGGTAATTATGGTAGCACACCATTAAATTTTGACATTCCTTGATCACTGCACACATGAAAATTCTAAAATTACTTCGAATTGCGCTTCAAAGAAGAACATACCTTTTATTGTAGCAATAACAAGAAATACTTATCTCACACAATTGCTAACTTATGATATCTAATTACCGAAACGATCTAGCTACAAAATATCTATTAAGAGAAAGGAGAGCATAGTGTCTGTCAGGTCGTCTAAACTCACTTTGTTGGGTTAGTAAATTTCGGCAAAATATGCAAATCTTCAATAAAGACTAAAAATAATCAGAAGTACAAGCCATTTAAGACAAATTACAGTGTTCATTATAAACGAAGAACAATGCAAAAAAATACCTGAAATCTACGGGATAAACAAATATGTTTTCTGTGTAAGGAATCCAATAGCTGTCACACTAAGGAATAGCGTCTAGATTTGGAAATCAGCCTCAATAGTTTCCATAATTAGTACCTGTAGTGGAGCCCCAAATAAGCTTAAGACTAAGATAATAGGATCTTACGAAAATAAATAAATTGTACAGTACTCTATATTATAATATTGCATAAGTGCCTGATTGTGAAGATGTTTACACTACGTATTGTAATAACTAGTACAAACTCACGTCGCTTTGCTGACGATTCACAGATGAAATGCTATGAAATGCTATATTAAGATTAGTTCATGCTCCAAAGCGCATTATGATAACTAATGTACGGTGATGGACATACCAAGTTAAGATTAGCAGGTACTGTAAGCTATCGACAGTGCGGTACAATGTCCTTAGTACTGTGGTCAATTCTATCTCAATTATTATAATGTGTCTAAGGATCGCTTGCTCTGTCTATAACAACCATTATAAGAAAATGTAACAATCAAAATGGCTGTGTAGAAAACTCTATAAAGATTCTATGTTTATTCAATTTTCATCAGAGTATTACATCAAATCAACATTGAAAGGCCCAGCGGCCACCCTTAGCGATATAACGAATACTATTTTAAAAATCAGTACTCTGCGGAAATTGCTACCTTAGAGCTATTCGTTTTACATGAAGAAATCTTGAGGTAAAAAGTACGGTAAGAATCTTATACTGACCTATTGAAATGAACCCATAATCACAGTCATCTAATAGTAGTATAAATATCCCCGCGCTGCTCGTTTATATTGAGATGGTTATATTATGATTCTTAGGTAAGTAATAGATTGCGCTAAGTACTGTATGTTAAAACTGCGAGATTTATATTATGACGCTTTAACCAGAAGAGTGAATTATGAATTGATAGCGCGATAGTGAATTTACATATGATTGTATTTGAAGGAAAATCATTGTGTAACTAATTTTATATAAATTATGAAAATCTGTAATAATTTAGATAGTCCAGAGATAGTCTGATTGCAGTTAGATAGTCCTTGGTAGTTGTAAGATAAACCTAATCTTATGCAATAAAGTGAAGTTTATAAAAAACCGTTATGTTTTTGAGAAGGCCCTTTATCGTAGTACTGTAGCGTGATTATTAATATAAACTAATAATTATATAATCTAAACTACTATAAGAAATTGATGTTTGAAATTTATTCTATTATTGTAATCCTTAAGATTGATATCCAATTCGCTATTGTATGCTTTATTTGCTTGACATCTACCGTTTCATGTCTATAATATATGCTGCTTCAGCTTTCTGAGGTATCATATTTTATTCTGTTCTAGTGTATTTTATCCAAATGATTATTACCTTAGCTTAGTAAATCGCTTATATCAATATCACCATTAAAGGTTACTTACCCAATAGGAAAGTAATTATGGATTGCTTTTAAAAAGATTACTAACGACGTTGCTGATAATATGCTCGGTCAAAAATCATGAATATAGAGTTATAATGGGCGTCCAATTATAATTATCAAAACTAGCGACTTTTAAGTCCTATCATTGCTTAATTTAGGGGAAAACGCCTGTTTATTATAAATTCTAATCACAACCTTACCAAATCAAGTAAAGTAATTACAAAAGGGCAGAACTACTATTATAACCAACCAAACCATCTAAAAATGAAATTACTCACAACTTTTAGGAATACTCCAACCTTTACCTCTCTACTTACCTAACTTAAACCACTCAGCTATTTAATTATACTACCTTATAGATGCAATATAAAACAATTGGCGGTATCTGACCATTAATTTATCACTCTAAAATATTCTAAATTAAACTAGCAATTAAGCACATATGAGAAGATAAATACTACCCTAGATTTTCGAAATTACTAAATTAATGACAATTGTATTTCAAATATAAATTGCGTCTTTCTACGTTTTATTAAACATAACTATGATAAAGCACTGGGAAAAACCAGCAATCTTAAAATTGGACGTTAGATCTAAATGTCGAATTCACGCGGCATTTGATAGCAAAGTATCATATTTCTACCACAATTTATGATTAAAGTTAGGTATCAATTTTATTATCATTGAAATAAAATGTTATACTACTTCAATATATCCCTTAAATTACATTCCTACAATATATAATTATTAAGAAAATGATACTACTGGATATTGTTATATTCTAACCTGAATAAAGTACTCAGATCCACAATATACTAAGATACTAAGTGAAATCTACTGCAATTAAACTAAGTAAGATAATTTAAGCAAGCTGTAATACTTAATGCAATAAAGGCTTGAAGTAGCACTCTAAAAATTAACCTTTATAGCATTAGCATCTTTTCCAATTAAATCAAAGTCATATAAATAGACTGTTTATGAATACCGTGATTCGAAAGATCTAATTGTTTGATTTATTTTGCATCCATGTCTATAGCTACGTTCTTTGAACTAACGAGATCCTGCCCATATTCGGGAGGTTCGTCGCGTAGTTGTTGCACCTAAATAGAGATTAACCCCAACAAATGTCATTTTAATATTTTCGCTTTTGCAAAAATACTAGAAACTAATCGGAAGATATTTAGATGATCGTAATTGTTGGAAACTAAAGGAGTTCCTTTGTGAGTCTATTTTTGACATTACTGAAGATTAATCTTACCGGAATTCTTGAATTACTGCCAGTTTGTAATAAAGCCATACTTGCAACACAAATAATGTATGTTCTCCAAGTTGTTCCACAAGCCGACATGTAATAAATGTAGACGATAGAATGTATAACTGCAACGACGATAGCTATGGTTTGATATTGGCTAAAAGAAACGAGCACCGAACCACAAGAAATCGAAATAGACGAATCGCTGACTGAGAGTAATGCTTGGTAGGTTAAGCCCAGAATAACGTAACCCGCACCAACACAAAGTATACATATGATATTCAACCCTTTATGTATTGTTATCTAAAGAAAAAGACGCGCAACATCCTTAACATCGACAGTACAATGAGATGCAGTTTTAATTTACGGAAGTATTACTTTTACAATTTTCAGAATAATAAACTTACAGCTTCTAGTGTTAGATTTTTGTTGATATAACGGCCAGAAAGGGCAAAAACCAGCATCTAATATATTTTGATCATAACAGTAAAGAAGACATGATATTACTCAACTGTATTCAATTCTGTAAACATGATATGTTAGTAAAATATAGAAGCAAAGCAGTTCGTTATCAATTCTCCCTAATAGTAATTAGAAGTTGAATCAGTGACATAAGATGATTATATACAATCTATTTCAGCATGGTGTCAAATTATAAGGGATAGACCACTTTAAGTTAAAATTATAGCGCGTAGATCGATCTTCTGTACAGATTATGGTCAATCTTGGGCATTACGTGGATATTAGCGAATAGTATTCATTTTCTCAACTGACAAATAATAATAAAATTATGCAATTTTAAAGCGTTGCAGTACTGTAAGGATGCTCTTCATATTCAATTGTGTCGACTACAATATTTAATATAATTAAATTTACTAATAATTAACAAATATTACCGCTTTGCTTGTATTTCAAAATGTTGGCTATAATTGCAATCATTTTCGATTATATAACTAGCAATAGCCGGTTATCTAAATTACAGTACAATGTCAGTGCAAATTAAAATATTACAATTTTATAGAAGCCTAAAACCTTACTGTGTTAGACATTAATATAGACATAACCGTCTCAAATAGATAGATTAATACCGTATTTGAAGAAAAATAATTTATTGATGATTCTGGTATGATTGTAAGGGATATTATTGCTGCCAATAGGCCAAACTAAATACACTCGTATTTAAAACTGCAAGTAGGAGATCTTGATTTAATTGGGTTCAAGATAATTTATACTAGATTCTTGATAGTAGTTCAGTATTGCTTTGCTATTCTAAACCGCTGTAATAAAAACTGCAATAAAAGCTTTTTTAAATTCTATCTAGACTAAGACTGCCAATTTGTGAGAATTAGATTTCTTCTAGATTAGAAACAAAACTTTGATAGGTTTGTTACAAAATTCGGAAGTCAGGAGAATGCAACCGAATAGTATAAGCATGACAATTTGGTAGAATATAAGAGTTTAAATAAATTATGTTCCCGATATGGTATCAGCAATATATCTTATTTTATTCGATATCTCTTCCGTTCTATATAAAACTCTATCGTAGATGATTCCGAAGTAGTTTTCAATTTTAAAGTAGCAACTATCAAATTGTGCTATAGTTTCAAGATATCGAATAAGCAATATGTCAATATGTCAATATATTTAACTAACAAGCTAATAAAGTCTAAAATGCAATTACCAACTTTTGCTTAATGGAGCTAAAGTAAGTGGCAATAAGTCACAACTATCGATATGGCTAAATTAAATCTATCCTTTCTTTTATCATCGACTGCAATTTCTTATATACCAACATGCACTGTTTGAAATTTAGAATGATTACCTCTAACTTGAAATTCTACTCTAAAAGACCTAGTAATAATATTAATTATGTCACGATACTTCTAGACTTTATATAAGCTATATTCTATTTTCTATATTTCAGCAGATCATTTTGCGGTACGACCAAAATTGCCATGAGGTTTGACTATTCTAATATTGTTAGCTAATAACAAAATTATTATTAATTGACTTACCGGCCCAGCAATCCAGAATGAGTTATAATATTGTACTAAGCTGAGCACATACAGACCATATCTACAAGGCATTACTAAAGCTGGTACTGTGGCGGCCAATTGAATCACTGTCAAGACAATGACAATGTTTAAATGGATATTAATTTTCCGAATTCCTTCCGAAAGAACAGTCATTGGAGATGTAATGCGTGGCATGGTGAAGGATTCTGACCGGTATTTGAAAATTCAAATGAGCTAAGGAATCTTTCCTAATTAAAATTAATCGGTTGTTAATTTACGTTACAATTACTGAAAAGCAGTTACTGCCAATTTTTATGATGCCAGATACAAAAATAGTCATAAACTTATGGTAAAGTTTATATTAATGAGCATGAGTGGAAAATGTGATGGAGGATTCGATAATTTATCGGAAACAGATTGAGTAGTTATTTTGAGATTAACTTAAATGCGTTGCGTAAGAAAATCGATTCTTTATTTTAAACTTCAAGTTTAAGCTGGCTGTCTTAAAGTAACGAAATAATTGTCGAAAATGGCGAAGACTGTAAGTGCTATAAATGTTCAAACATAACAAACTATACCTGTTTACAGTGCTATAAGTTTATCAAAGTATCTATATTTAAGAACAACTTAGAATACTTGTATTAAGTCATATGCTACAAGCACAATATAATCTTAATACTTTACCGAAACAGGAAGTAAAAAGTGAAGACCTTATAATTAAATGTCTATAGAAGCACTATAGCCGATTTGAACCTTATTCTGGCCAAGATAAGAATTTGCCATTAACAGTAATACTACTAGTACACCCTACTTGTGATAGCTTGTGTAAGTATACTATTAATATGCTATTAACGCCGATGTATGTACTCTATTTTCTATAGCATAAAATCAAGGACAATTTATGACCTGCTGCGTTGATAAGTGTATATAGCGGTTAAGATCGAAAGATTACTTAAATGGTAAGGTACGGTAACGTGCAATAGTTTGTTGGCCTGATATATATAGGTTGCGGCCAATGTCCGAAATTAGCCAATACTGTAGACGGGCAGAAAATATAAAAGTAGGCAACATTACATGATGTAGAGGTTATAACTAAGATCTTGCTGCTTACTTTATTCGGATAGAGTAGAGTTATGAACAGTTAACTATGGGTAAAAAAGATTCCCTTTTAGACTTGATAAATCTCTACTTTTCTTCAAGCCAATGGAAAATTTTTGACTTACTTTTACGGTAACCTACATTTCACGCATTAAGGTAAAACTAAGCAAATTTAAACGCAATTTAAGTTAAAAATAAATTTTAAATGACCGATTAATACTAAATTTATCGAATCGCATTCAATTTAAAAGTAAATAGCATTAATTATAGTGGAAAGAAAAAATCCTTGAAGAAAATCACGTTGTACCTTGAAGTAGAAATTTTAAAACAAAGTGACCTTGTAGCTGTCTAAGCCTATTGCGAACCAGAAGTAGTGGTAGATCAACTGCTGTCAGTTTACTTGCTATCTCTCTTTTTATTCAATATTTCCACTGAATACGGAAGTGAAAAACCTGTACTGTATAACGTTTTGAATTTAATTGTTCAATTCGAATACTAATTAATGGAAGTTAAAATAAGTTAATATAACCATCAAAGTCATCCTTTGAAACGAAGCTTTTATAATACAGAACAATTGCACACCTTCCCAAATGAATACTGTTTAAATATTTGTTTTGAAGAATGGAATGTATTAAATAAGTGTGATGGGGGGTTCGATATCTCGGAGGATTGAGATTTAGTTTCCATTTACAATTAGTACACCAAAAGTTGTATAAAAGTTATGCTTTATTTTAAGTTGTAAAGTAAGTACAGTGAGGTAGTTACGGTAGATCAGCGTGCAAGCTGTCATGAGTAACGTGTGAAGACTAACCAGGAAACGAACAATTTCTGAGGTGGAAATCGGCGGTATTTATAGTTTTAAAGATAGAGCAAATACAGAGAATAGGATTGTAGAATTAGATACAACATATACCATAACAGGCTACAACATAGCTGATGATTGTAGCAAACAGCGAGTACCGTAATAACTAAATACAGTAGCCTATATATGAATGTGAAGTAAGCGGACTGTAGATATGTCTAAATATAAGAGCAATACAACATGTCTATACTTAAGAGTAGGTATATAGTTACAGTATATTCTAAATACACTACAATAAGCAATTTTATTTGTCTAGCTATTTAATGAATGCTGTATATTAATCGATTTTGATGATCATTATTCATATTCATCACTCTCCCGTTTCCCCAGGTTTTACCAGGAAGTGGGTTAGTTGTATAGACACAATGGCAGTTTATAATAACCAAGCAGATACATTCGATTGGTAGTTCATTGTAAGGCAGTTGAATTGTAATTATCTGGGAAAGAAGAAAGGTAATTAATTATAGACTGTGATACAATAGCAGTAGAGACATACACCATTATTAGACTACATAATGAAGTAACTCTTGAATTATTATTTCATACGTTGATTCTTCTTAATGCAAGTGATCAGACGGTCGTAATAAAAGAACTCGTTTGATATAGAAATATATTCGATAACTATGTAATAGGATAAAAGTTAATCCATGTGGTTTGAAGTACTTTAAAGTATTCTAATACGAGGAACGAGATATGTCCATGATATTATGGAGTTACAGAGCGGAAACAGAGCGTCATAAAAGCTAAAAAATTGAGTAAAATAGATAGTTGATGAAAAAATCACGTTAATGTACAAGCTGCGCCCCAGGCTACGTTTCACCGTAAAAACTGAATAAAATTCAGCTAATACAAATAGAATTGTTAATCCCTTTCCCAAGATATAGAACTTGAAGTTTGATTGTTGCAAACCAAGTAGAATTTTGAGCTGCGAAATTCTTTACTAGAAATTATTTCGAAAAGTTTTTCCTGATTGAATAATCCTTTCAGTTAATTTCTATTACAAACTCACAACCAATCGAGTCTCTATGGAGAAAGGACAAGTTTAACTTTACTCACAATGCAAGATTCAATCCTCTTTTCAATTATATCCTACCTACTAAAATGAGTTACTGACGATGCTCATCGCTTAAGCATAAGCACTAAAATTTGGCTCTTATTGGGAAATGTTATCGTGATATTAATTCTTGCGAAAAGAAGTGTATGACATTTTGTTGAGCAGCGAGCATCAGCTTACGCATAGTGAAAATTTCATGAGTTATTTTACTCTAATTTATAAGATGGAGCCTACGGCATTGTGGGAAAATATTTCTTATTGTGGATATAAACAACGCAGGAATATACAAAGGGAAGACCTAAAAGCCTATAGAGGGACTTTAGAGCTAGATATAGATATGGCCATTTGCTGAATCAGGTTCACTGGTGCAAACTCCCGTCGCTTTACTGACGGTTTACGATAATGTGCTCATGCTGAGCAGGTACAACATCATCGATTGTTGCTATCGAGTCAATATCACCTAATCTTCCTATTCGATGTAATCGGCGATGATGATAGTTTCTCCTACGATTACCTGCTGACTGATTCTGATCTCTAGGAGTACTATCTACTTCAGAATTCCTGATATTACTTACAGATTGATTTAATTTACGTACTGATCGTGCATTTCC